GCCAAGAAAAGCCAAGGCATCGTTGCAGAAGATTAACTAAATTAGATAATCTCCTCTACAGGGACAAAGACAATATTAAGCAACAGAAATTAAAACAGAAATGTTGAAAGAATAATAGAAAATTGTCCAAGAAAAAAAATATATAAGCCCTGAAACAGACATCGAAGCCACCAAAACACACTAACACATGTGGATATGATACCTATGGCAGAGTGAGTAGTGCAGATCATCAGTTAAATGGTTTTAAAATGAATGGTGCTAGGTCTCTTGGTTAGCCAAAATATAAAAAGGTACATCTCACCCACTAAAATCAGTTCAAGGAAAAGCATGCAGTTTTAAATATGAATATGATAAAGTAGACTTCTAGGCTGGCAGTGTGGCTTGGTGGTGGGGTGCTTGCTTGCCTAGCATAGGTAAAGCCCTAGGTTTGATCTGCAGCAGCACCACAAAAGTAAACTTGCCTAAGATAAATTATTTTTATGACCTTGAGCAGGTATTGATTTTTTTAATTTCCTCTAATGAGGATTGACCCAGGGGTGTACCACTAAGCTATATTCCCAACTTTTTACATTTTTTTTTAAATTTTGAAACAAGATTTAAGTTGCCGGGACTGACCTCCAAGTTGTGATCCTCTTGCCTTAGCCTCCAAAGTAGCCAGGATCATGGGTGTGTGCCACTGTGTCCAGCCCATAAATATTTTTTTTTCCTTAAACAACTATAACAACAACAAAAGCTACAGTATCAAGGAAGAGACTGACAAATCAGATGGCATTTAAATGAAGAATCTCGGTTTATTCAAAGAAGACACTGAAGAGGTAAGTCAGAGTGGGGACAGATCCATCCGATACATGCAAGAGAGTTTCTGTAAATCAGCAAGACACACAACCCCAGAGGAAAGTAGGTAGAAAGCCTGAACATGCCATTCATGAAAGAAAGGTCCAAATGTGCTCAACTTCCTCGTGTTCATGTAAATGCAAACTAAAATCCCAATGAGAGAGGACCCAGCATTCTTTAAAAAGACTGGCAACACCCCGTGTCGGGAGGGACTCAGTTATGTCCCACACTGAATAGAACTTAAGAATAAGCATATCCCAAGACACAGGGTTTCCCTGCTGGGGTAACAAACACAGGCACATATGGATGAAATGACATGGGCAATAATTACTCATAATAGGACAAATATCTGGAGAAAAGCCCAAGCAAAACTTGTATTTTCCAGGTTGGACATTGTCATTATGGTCCTTGAAGCAAGAAAAAAAAAAAAGCCATTCAAACTGAAAATCAGCACCTTTTCTTAGATTCATCAGAGAACTGAGGTCACAGGTCAAACTAGTGCCCCCGCCCACCATCAAGTTTGAGAGACAGGTGAATTCAGAGCACCCTGGCTTACCAGGAGCAGAAGTTCAGGAACGGAAGGGAGCACGGGCAGCCAGTGCTGGCACAGGAAGCTCAAACTGTAAACAAAACATGGCTGGGGCTTGGGGTTCCCAAGCTGGAGAGGTACAGATGAAGAGAGCCCCGTCTTGCAAGGCCTGGCACTTGAGCTGAGCCCACTCCAGAGCCCCACAGGTGGCCAGAGTGAACATCAGAACGAAAACTCTCTCCTGCGTGCCCACAGAGGAGGGGGAAAGCAACCATTCTGAAAGATATCTAGGGCAATCCTAGAGCTTACCGCTCCTGGAAGAGGGAACCCAGCTCCAGGCTCCTCCACCTTCCTCTCTCACCCAAGCAGGGGTGCAGGGTGCCCAGAGGCCAAAGATACCCTGGAAGATGGAGACCCAATCCACCCACCTGCACGCCTCGTTCCACGTCGTCGACAGTGCTGTACGATGTCAGGAGACTACAAAACCCAAGAGAACAGGGGAAGAAAAGAAAAACAAGGACACCAGAGGAAATTTTAGTCTCTAACACCTATGGCTAAAGCAAAGAGTAAGGCAGAGCTTTACTTTTAGGTGAGATCATAAAACCTCCCGCAGAAGGCCGATTCATCTCAGTTCTCTCCACCCAGTACATCCATCTGATTCAACAGAAAATTACAAGACATTCTAAAAGGCAAAACACCGCTTAAAGAACCAGAGCAAAGCAAGCAACAGAACTAGACTCAGGTACGGTGGCAGGCATTTCAGAATGGTCAGACCCAGAGTTTTCCATAACCATGATTAGATTCACACATGCTCAGCCCTCTATGGAAATCAGTGGCCGGCAGCATGCCAGGACAGAGGGTTAAATGGAAGGAAAAAGATTGAAATACCAAGAAAAAAAAACCAAAAAGAAATGCCAGGGATGAAAACATTGTGGGAAAAATGAGAATGTCTCTGATAGACTCAGCAGCTCACTGAAAATAGCTAAGAAAAGGGTCACTGAGTGTGAAGACAGGAAACGTCTCAGTCTGAAAAGCAAGTCGAACAAAGAATAAAGAAACAGAACAGAATATCTAAGACCTGGGTTGCAATTATAAAAGTGCAACTTACATGTAATGGGAATACCAAAAGGAGAAGAGAGAAACAAAATCTATTTGAGGTAATTGAGGTAATAATGAATGAGAATTTTCCTGAATTAATGATAGACCACACATCTAACAAGCTCAGAGAGCAGTAAACAGGAGAATGCAAAATAAAAGCAAACAAACACATTAAAAAAGAAACCCCAACAGCTACATTTAAGAGGTATATTACATTCAAACCTCAAAAAAAAATCAAAGACAATCTTGAAAGACTCTGGGGGTGACAGGGGACCCACATTCCCCTCTGCTACTCCTCGAAGGCGCTGGTGCCACACAGGGTCCTGAGCCTTAGAGAGCCTAAGGGGCTGTGGGCTTGAAAAAGAGCAGGGCATGCACTTCCCCCACAGCATGGCCAACTCCATCTTGAGCAAGACCCCAAAGACCTCAGTGGACACAGTGAGCACTCTGGTTTGTGGGCGAAGCAAATAGACTCTGAAGACTCAAGGGAAAACTGTGAAAAAGCATTAAAGATATGGTGAAAACTATTATCCCTTAGCTCCTCGGGTGTTAGCAAGGTCCCTTGCTGAACCTTCTGTAACAGAATGCTTTCTTACAAAGAAAATCCAGTACTGGACAGTAGCCGGTGAGGCAGTCAAGACAGGTTTTATTCAGGAACCACTGCCACGGGAGGGAAGAGGTATGGGGACGGCACTGGCCCATTCCCAGTGCCACCTGGACCAGAGAGGATTTGCAGCCCAGGAGCAGGGTGGAGTCAGGGGCTGGAAATCACTGAGAGGAAACACCAGGGACAGAAGGGATTCTGGTGGAATAGGGCTATCGGGTTCTTGCTGAAGGCTGGCCAGGGCCAGCAGACCCCAACAGCAGGGGTGAGCGTGTGATATCAAGAGGGATACCCAGTGTATATGGGGGGGGGGTGTCTAACCTGCCTTAGCAAGGGAAATGGGCCATGTGGGGCGGACACAGAGGGGCAGCAGGGTGGAGACTGGAAGGGTCAAGAGAAGTCTGAAGAAAGGCTAGTCGAGGCCAGAGTCTTACTGTGAACCCAGCGAGACCGTGGCGTCACTGGAGACCCCTTGGTCAGAGTTGGAAGAAGGCGGGAGTCAATTAGACACTACAAATTAGACAAACCCTTTAAAAGGCAAAAGTTATTACAGATTTGTAAGCTAGAAATTGCGACATTGAAACATCTTACAGGGCTTCATTTCTAATAAAGTGAATATCGATCTCTATAAGCCACATTTTTAAAGAAGCTCTTTGGGTGGGTGGGGGTTCAAAAAGAGAAAAGTGCTCTTGAGACCGAAGGCGAAAAGTCCACTGTGAATTATCCCCACCTGTGATAGAGCCTTTTCTTGCTCTGAACTTATAAGGAGTCATTGTTAGAGAATCCCAGGCACAGAAGTCCCTGGCTAGCTGGGCCTAGGAGTTTTACTATTTTTCACCTAGAAAGCTAGTTTTTTTGGTGACCTGAGGGGACTTTGACTACAGTTAGATCTGCTCTTCTTTGTTCCCCTTCTCATTGGTCTCTTTTCTCATCTTCAGTTTGTTAGCAGCGCTAGCATAGTTAGGAGGTCCGCGGGCATGCTCAGGGGCATCTCTGCGGACAAGGAGACCCTAACTGAGATCAACCAGGGCCTTCAGACCCTCGGTCAGGGAACTCTGGCGTGGTGAGACAGGCCTGCCACTTCCTGATAGGGACCTGAGGCCCAGAGGTCACAAAGGTCATTAACAAGAGACAACAGAGCAACTCCAGCCTGTAGGACCGCCCCAAGATGTGCAGAGCACAAAGACCCCGACTCCCCCCCCCCACCTCATGAAACTCTGAGGAGCCACATTCGCTGGTCACCGAGGGCGTCAGCAGAGGACAGGTTTCTACTACCTCCTGAACCACAGCTGAAGTGAAAGATGGAGACCTGGGGAACCTGCAGCCGGGCGCTCTGCGACGGCAGAGTACCCAGGTTTGGATGCCGCTCTGAGAGCTTCCAGGTGTGCAACAGATTCCCTATCTGCCAGAAGCTGGATGTCTTGTGTGGCAACCCCCCTTATGCTGCCCACAACTCTTCCTGGGTCCGATGACCACTTCCCAGGGCGAGGGACGGGGCCTGAAGCCATTCGTCTATCCTAAGCCCGTCAGTGAGAGGACCTCAAGGAGCTGCCGGAGCAGGACACTGAGCAGTGTGTACAACATCCCGCACTCCATTTCCTTCAAATTAGAAATGCTCCTGAAAGCCTTTCAGTTCTTGATCACAGCATGGACAGCGCTTTAGAGGACACCAGAGTGGCGCAAGCGTGAACATGGACTAGGAGCAGGAACTGAGCACGGCCTCAGCCCCGACCGCAAGGGTCCCTGACCGGCAGCTCATGCTATCCACCGCTACGCCTGGGAAAGGATTTCCCGATGGCCCAGAGGCATGGTCAGCAGAGGGGCAGCTGAGAAAGCAGGTGGCTAGCTGTCTCCTTTTCAGTGCCCACGTCAAAGTAAAATTGTTTTTCTATCAAATTTCCTTAGTTACTTTTCAGAAATACTAAGGTGCACGTGCCAGTGACCAAGAGAGATGAACTTTAGTTCATGACAATACCCAAATCCCCACCCAGGGAAGAGCAGAAGCCACATTTTCACAGGGTACAAAGTTTTCACAAGTACAAAGGCACGTTATCAGAATGCGCCTGCGCAGGATTGCAGGCTCGTCCCTGCACATGCGCCGAGGGACCTTCACTCCCACCTACACCCCTTCACACTCCCTGCCAAATAAACTGCGGCTGGCCTTGGTTACCCGGACTCATCATGCCTTGGAAGTGATTTCCTGTGGTTTCCTTATTTGCTGCCAATAAAATTTGTTCTACGAGACTACTATTCTCGGTTGATTCTGTTTCGAGTCCCACCCAGAGGCAGACCCACTGAGTCAGTGACACAGTGCCCAGGTGATGGCCACCTACCAGATGCCAGGCTACAGGAAACCCGAGTCGAGGAGTCTCAACTATCGGAGTCCCTCCCCAGCCCTTAAGACACAGCCCAGGGTCTCTGCTAACTGGAGGCAGTGGGACTGCAATGCGCCTGCCCTTCCCACCTTTAATTTCTGCTCTGATACAGGAAGTCAGAGGCCTGATGAGAACCCAGTCGGGCAGAAGACCAGCAGCACAGCCAACAGGCCTGCTGGCCCCCGCCCCCCAGCTTGGCCCTGGGCCCCCTGGGGCCCCTGGGCCCCCTGTCCCCCCAGCACCATTTTGGTGGTGGAGACACAGAAGGAACCTCCTGCTGCAGAAGCACCCCCTGAAGGGGCTCAGCCAGGCAGGCGCACAACCAGCAGAATGTGCCTGCTGCAGGTGTGATCCAGCCTCTCTGCCCACGGGGGCTGGCAGGAGACCCCTGGAAGCTTCTTCAACTTCCTACTCAGATGCAGGATCTGAGGCTGCTCAGAGCCAGGAGAGCTGATGAAACCTCTGCGGGGGCAGCAGAGGCAGGGATAAAAGCCCAGGGCCCAGGGAGGATGAGTGGCATTCTTTGCACTCTCCAAGGTTTCTTGTGGCCTTCAGTATCAATAGAAGTACAATGACCCTGAGCTCCCTGGAAACGTAGGAGATAGTGCAAAAGACAAGCCAGTAAACTGCTGCACATGGGAGCCATGCAAAAAGCATGTTCTTCCCCAGAGGACTTTGCGTGTAGGGGAGGAGCCAAGGGTTCACTCCACGGGGTTCAAATTAAGGGACTATCCAGTACCTCCAAAGCATTCAAAAACATTGTGTCCAAAATAACTTTGAGGCTGAAAGGCTGGCCTGGAGCTGCCTGGGAGACAGGGCTGCAGGTGTGGTCCTGTAGAGACTGCAGAGATTGAACTACGCCTCTTGGGGCTCTGGGCCTCTCCCTCCTGCTCCTCTCTGTCTTTTCTTCCATGTTTGTGGTGGAGGGAAGATGACTCTGTAGAAATAAACACAATAAAAATAATTGGTAAGCAGTTAGCATCTTATTTTCTGGATTGCTTTTAAGGATGGATTATGAGAGGCGATTACTGATTTGAGTGGCACTTATTTATGATTGCCTGAAGGAACATGGGTTGTCACCTCCTGGAGCAAGTTCAATAACATGAATGACAATAGCATCAGTAGTTGGCCAAAGACCATATAATTTCAATTCCTTTTAGCCACACATGCCCATTTAACAGATTGCAGGATGCATGCTGAGAAATGGTGGGAAGTATGTTGGAAGTCACAGAGCTGGTGCTGGGCAGAGTCCATATGTGAGCTGGTGCTGTCCAGCCTCCCTTGGCTCAGGGCTGTGGGCCTTAGAGTCCTTCCTGGTTTGGGGCCGCCTCTGGAAGTCAGTTATACTGTGTCTCTTAAGTGAGTAATTCCCCATACAGAGGTGACCACCAACTGCTTGGTGAGGCAGTGTCCAGGGCTCCTTCTGAACTCATCTGTCTGGAGTCCCCACACCCTTGCTGCGTAAGCAGGACACAGATACCTGGGATGCTAACAGAAGATGCTTGATAGACAGAATGACACTGATAAACCAGTCCAATTGGCTTATAAAATGCACATGTCCATTGTGAATCCTCCTAAGAGGGGAATGTCCACAGTTACCCAGGACTATCCAGAGGGACCTATGAAATGCTGCCTCAGCATGCAGGTACCCTGGGTGCTCCCTGGAGATGGGCAGGTCTGAGCGTCCCTGAGGGGCACTGCTCTGCAGATGGACAGACAGACCCAGCTGGAGCAGATGCAGGGGAGAGCTGCAGACACATGAATGATGAGATGACCCACAGCCATCCTGCTGACTGAGCTTCCACTTGACCCCCAGCTCGCCTGGTCTGGACTGAGGATTGAAAGTCCTTCCAGAGCCGAGGGTAGGTTTAGTGGTACAGCACCTACCTAGCACGGGAGAGGCCTTAATGGGCTCCATCACCAGCTCCACAGAAAGGATGGGGGACAATGGAGGGAGGAAGAACGGATCAAAGGAAGAAAGAGAGAGAAAGTCCTTCCATTTTCCTGAAGGGCAGCTGGGGGTATATCTGAAGAGCATTTCCCCTCTCTTTGGTGGCTTCTTAGCATTCTTCTGAGTTCTTGAGACAGCAGAGAGACACATCTGGTTATTAAAGTCACCAGCTATTTTTTGTAGCTGGAAAGTGGTTGGGACAAAGTAGAAGTTCTTAATAGGGGGAGGAGAGGTCCTAGAAAATAACTGATCTTTCTGGACATGAGGGGAAATTATGCTTTCTAAGACTTCTAGTTTTTAGAGTCAAAGGCAGCGAGCTAAATTTTTTAAGTGAAGGCTACATCAGAGTCGTGTCACCATCGTGTTGGAAAGATCAGGGTTATTGGTGAGGGCTCATCACGGGAGAGGCTCTGACTTGCTCCTGACCATCAGAGGGAAAGAAGAAATAGGGGATCGCTGCTCCAGTTACTCTCCTGGCCCACGTGTTTCTCAAATGCTCAAGCCAATAAGCCTTGTGGTTGACACTTTTCATGATGCCCATAAACATTTAAAATCTTGTGGGTAAAATGGTCTTTACAGGTCAGGTCAGATAACGCTCTGGGCGTGGTGTATCCTTGCGCTGTTTGTAAAAGAAACCTTTGAAGTCGTTGGGGACAGAAAGGATTTGGGCAGCAGAAAAGCAGAGGAAGCTGTGAGTAGAGGTGGAGCACCGTGATCGACCACATCCTCTGCACCTGGTGAGGAAGAGGGCCAGACCAGCGTGGGGGCCGTGGGTGAGGCAGGGACGAGAACAGAGAGCAAGGTTTGGTACTAAGCTTTGTGGTCCCTCCGTGCCCCACTCAGAGAGGCATCTTCCATGTTGGGCCTTTACTCTAGAGTCCCTTTTCATCCACACGACATCTCAACTATCATCCACTCGTTTTCAAAAGGTTTTATTGTCCCTAAAATAAATTCTGGTTCAAAGGTGGGAAACTCCAGCTGCTGCCTCCCCCCCTCCCTCACCCGAGTCTCCTTTTGGAACCAACGCAGGCTTGACCTGCACCGATTAGTCACTTGCTCCCATGCGCCACCTTTAGGGAGCAGAGGGAAGGTGGGCTACATTGCCTTCGCTCGACCCCGGTGTTGAAGTGCTGGGTTCTCGGTTCTTGCTTCCCGCGGGTGAGCTGGAGGAGCTGACTACTTATTAGTTTCACAGGTGGGGTAAAAATAAAGACCACTGTTGGCTTGAATGACATTTCACACCTACTTTCTGCTTGTCAACCTGTGATGAGGGAAGGATGATGTCTGGATTTGGGGTAGGAACCTCTGAGAATAAGTAGAATGTTAATAAGGCAAGAAAGAGCTAAGTACAGGGCTGGGGTTGTGGCTCAGCAGTAGAGCACTAGCCCGGCACATGCGAGGTGCTGGAATCCATTCTCAGCATCACATAAAAATAAATGAAGACATTATGTCCAATTACAACTAAAAAAAAAATAAAAAAAGAAAGAAGTACTACTTTCTCCCCACTTTGGGCTTTCTCTTTTTACATTTTCCCTCTTTCTTTCTTTTTCTTTTTCTTTTTCTTTTTTTTCTCTTTTTTTTTTTTTTTTTTTTGATAGTGGGGATTGAACTCAGGGGCACTTAACCTCTGAACCAGATCCCCATTTTATATTTTTGTTTAGAGTCAGGGTCTCACTGAATTGCTGGGGCTGGCTTTGAACTCAGCATCCTCCTGCCTCAGCCTTCTGGGCCACTGGGATTCCAGGAGTGTGCCAACACACCAGGCTACATTTTCCCTCTCTTGGCAGATGACATCACAAAGTTCTGCTAACAACTTCTGCAGTAATTAGGTGCAATTTAGTGCACTCTTTCTGAGATGCTGACTGGCACTTCCCTGGCCAGGGATTAGCCACACTGCTCAGATGTCCCCAGACACAAGGAGGGTGATTTAATTAAATGGGGGTCGGGGGGGAGGGGCTTGGCAAGGTCACTGAGGAAGGGTCCCTAATGGACCCTTTTATTGATGGACCATTTCATGGCTGGTAAGTTCAGCAGGGTCTCTAGACAAAGAGCAGCCCTTTGGGCACAGTTGCCCTTCTTGAATAGATGGCATAGTGACCATTGAACAGCATTTCCCCTCGTCCCTACAAGACAGTTGTAGAAGGAAAAAAAAGAACCCCAAGGGAAAGCTTAGGAGAGAGAGATAGTTAGGTGGGGTTGAGGTGAGAATCAGGAACATTTTGTGGATAAGACCAGTCAGAGCAAGAAAGCAAGGGTTGCAAGGGTAGGTGTGTTCACTCTCTCAACAGATGCCACTGTCACGTCCCTATATTTCAAGCACTGCTATGGATTGGAATCCAATGGTGACCAAAATCTTACAAGCTGGAGAGGCAGAATAACCTTCATCCAATGATCCCATGAAGAGAAGCAAGTTTACATGGGAATTATCTACACATCCAACATGGAGGATGGTTTTGAAATAAATTATGACAGGTCCTTTGGATATAACATTATGTAGTCATTTAAATTCTTTCAAGTAATTGTAAAATGGTTATAATAGTGGGCATTTAAAAAGCACTTTAAGCCAGGGATGGTGGTGCACACTTGTAATTCCAGTGACTCAGGAGGCTGAAGCAGGAGGTTCACAAGTTCAAGGATAGCCTCAACAAATAAGTGAGACTCTGTCTCAAAATAAATAAATAGGGCTGGCTCCATGATAGAGCAGCACTGGGGTCAATCCCTAGTATCGCAAAACATAAATAAAATGTGAATGAATTAATTAAAAAGAGTCTTGTGTACAGAATATAATCCCTACTTTATAACCTCAACTGAATGTTAACCTAAGTATAGGACAGTATATGTTATATGCCATCGTTTCCTCTGGGGATGAGATTAGGATGCACAGTGCATGTTCTCATCAAAGAGTAAAGTTGTTATCAAAGGGTAGCACATTTGCTTTTCCCTGGTTCCAATTTACAATGAGATGCTTTGCAGGCCTCAACTCACTTGGCTCTTTCTCTTTGTGGTGCTGGGGATGGAACCCAGGGCCTCCTGCATGTCAGACCAGGGCTCCAGCCCATTTCAGCCCTTTCATTTCAACCCAGCCCCACTTGGAACAAAGTGTAATCTTCCTTGCTCTTTGCATTCTCTCTCTTGGTTTTGACCCCTCAGCGAGTGAGGCAAAGTGCCCTGAGGACTCTTCTGTTGAGGCCCCATAGGGTCCTGGGGGGAAGCCCTCACACAGTGGGACGCCAAGAAACGTGGCTGCTGGGGGTGAGTCCCTGCTGGTGCTCACCTCCGCAGGGCGTCCTCTTCCCCGCCTGCTGCCATTTCTGAATTGCTCTGATTAGTTCATCTCACAGTCCAGATTCTACCATCCCTACAGAATATGATGGTTTTGTTCAAAAGCTTTCCCCTTGGCAGTCACTAGTGTGCTATTTATGACTCCCATCATCTTAAAAAGATTCTGTTTCTGCTTTTTTTTTTAAGCAGCTAGGTATTTTTGAACTGAAAATTAAAAGCATCTTTGATGATATGCCCAGAATGGTAGAACGCATTATGTAATTTGTCACAAAGCATAGTAGTTTTTCCTCTGATCTCTAAAATATTCCCTCTCAAGACAGTTTTTCAAATTTCTTTATGCTCTATAACTTATTATTTTGAAGGTCTACCAGGCCATTGGAAGTGAGATGTTTCTGTTGGAGTGAGAATAATAGTGCCCACAACACATTTCCCGTCACCCTGCGTCTTACCCTGCCCAACCCAGAGACATCGAGTTTTGGCCTTATGAATCCTGGGAGATTTTCACATTATGATCTAAGAGGTGCTGAAATGAGCCCCTACCGTTTCATGGATGCCCAAATTACACAATTGGAGACTGAGTATTACTGAGTCACTGTTTTAAAATATGAATCTGGAATGCAAGCAGCTGTCAGCCTGGGTTTCCTGCCAGCTGATTGACAGGAAAGGCCTGGGTGGGAGGCTAGGGCTCCTTACTGCTGAGCCTGGGGAGAGTTGGACTGGAGCTGCCAAGGAGCAGCATCAGGAACCCACATTTTGCCTGCTCAGTGGTTGACTTATGGGGTGTACTTTTCCTCCTTTTCAATGAACTTATAGTCGGTTCCACCTTCCTCTGCCCTTCCCTGCTGGTCTCGCTCTTTTTAGGGATAGTCCTGGGGAAGAGACTATGACTAGTCACCTAGGAACGTGTCTCATTTCCATTGCACTTTCTGAACCATCGTCTCTTCTGCTTCTTGTAGCCTTTGAAGTTGGATCATTTCTGTGACATGAACTTCCATTTACTAATATACGCTCAGTGCTATTTGGGGACTGCAGCCTCAGGTATATGACAAGCTGTGCATTAAAAGTGTTCAAGAAAATCCACCAGATTACTACGATGATCACTACAACCATTACTACACGATGTGAAAGTAGAAGGGAGACCAGGAGAGCAGAGAAAGGGAAGCAGGGGCAGGGGGCAGGGAAGACACAGGGAGGGGAATGAGTTGGCCAAATTGTGTCACTTGCATGTATGAATATGTCATGTATAATTATAATGCACCAATAAAAGTTAATTAAGAACATATCTGGAAAAAAGCCAAAACGAATGTGGATTTGTCTGTTTCCTTAGCCTGTCTGGTTAGGCTGGCAGCCAGCCCCCGAGACCCAGCACCCTTTAAGAAATGTGCTCTAGGGTTACCCTGGACACTGAGGGAAGGTCAGATCAGCTCGCCACACCACCAGGAACAGGTCTCAAACTTCCTCTGCCACCCTGTGCCTTTGTTATGCCAAGAGGCGTGCCCTCCTGCTGCAGGAAGGAGCCTGGTAGCCAGCTCTGGCAAGCTTCCATCTCCTCCTCCTTCCTTTCTGCCCCAAAGTTGCAGATCTCAAGAAATTTAAACATTTACCAAAAATGGTTGTCATATCGGCTGGGGACATAGCTCAGTCGGTAGAGTGCTTGCCTCACATGCACAAGACCCTGGGTTCAATCCCCAGCACCAAAAAAAAAAAAAAAAATGGTTATCATGCTGGGTGCAGTGGCACACACCTGTCATCCAAGCAGCGAGGATCAAAAGTTTAAAGCCAACTTCAGCAACTTAGTGAGGCCCTGAACAACTCAGTGAGACCCTATCTGAAAATAAAATATTAAAAGGGGCTGGAGATGTGGCTCAGTGGTTAAGTGCCCCGGGTTCAATCTCCAGGACCGAAAAAGAAAGAAATAGTGGTCACTATTTACGTATTTACAAATGTTCCTTTTGAGTTTGGGTTGGTCTTTTGAAATTGGAAAAGAACCTAGGTTGCTTGGCTTCTCCCTAGCTACATGACACATCAGTTCCTTTGGGTACATCACCCCCTAGTATGCTTTCTAATCTAATTTCTTTTCCTTGATCAAAGAATAAATGGCTGACAGACTGCACCTGAGCCCTTTAAGCAAGTCTGTTTGCATCTTTCACGGCACAGCGAAGGGGACTGCGAGAGGAACATCCTTTCTAGCTTCCTCTCTGGTGTGAGTGCACCGGCCAGCCATGCTGAGGATGCCCGCTCTCTGCCAGCCAGTGCCAAGAGGGGATCCCAGTTGCTCCGCCTATTTGCCTACCTGTGCTTCCAGCTATGTGTGCCCTCTAGTCTTCAGAAGTGCAGGAAATCAGGCAGCCGCTGAAGAGCAGGAGCCACAGCATTTCTGAGAGTTTATCACAGGGCTCTGTTGGCTTCCAACAGCTCAGAGAACAGGTTCCTAAAAACAACAAGTATCCTGTAGAACTATTTTGCAAATTAGAACATACTTTGAACTAAATGAAAATGAACATCCATCTTGCCCAAATTTGTGGAATGCAGTGAAAATAGTACTTAGAGCAAAATCATAGCATAAGTTCGTGTATTAGACAGGAAGAAAGATCTAAAACCAATCATCTAAAAGGCCACCGCAGAAAATTAGAAAAAGTAAAGCAAGTTAAATCCAAAATAGGCAGGAGAAAGAAAGCAGTCATAAAAGCAGAAGTAAAAAGAATTGGAACTAGGAAATCAGTAGATAAAATCAGTAAAAAGAAAAGCTGATGCTTCAAAAGTATCAGTAAAATTGATGAACCTCTAGTCAAGATAAATAAGGAAAAAGAGAGGAGATGCGCTGTTAGTAAGAGAAATGAAAGGGAGCCCCTCTGTGGACCTCAGGGGACTGCAAAGATAATAAAGGAACACAATGCAATAATATGGGGGGGATGGAGCAGGGGTAGAGAAGGAAGGAAGGAAGGAAGGAAAAAGAAAGAAAGAAAGAGAAAGAGAGAAGGAAGGAAGGAAGGAAGGAAAGAAAGAAAAAGAAAGAAAGAGAAAGAGAGAAGGAAGGAAGGAAGGAAGGAAGGAAGGAAGGAAGGAAGGAAATAGATTGGTAAGGAAGAAATAAAACTGCATCTGTTGGTGGAAGACATGATTGTCCTCCCAAAGGAAAAACAAAAACTCTCCTAAAATATCAAATTATAATGAGCAATTATAGCAAGTTGGCAGGTTATAAAGTTACAATAAAAAGTCAATTTTTTTTACTTACCAGTTATGAAAAATTGGAATTTGAAATTAAAAATACAACACCAGAAAAAGAAATAGGTACAATCTGACAAAATAAGTGTAAGATCTACATGAAGAAAACTACTAAGCTGATAGAAACAAAAGACCTAAATAAATAGACAGAAAATCCACAAGTAAACCACAACACTGTGGAGATGTCAGCACCTCCAGACTCAATGCAAAACCAGTCAAATAATCCAGATTTATGGTATGGATTTATTTATCAACAAACTGATTCTTAAGTTTGTGAGGAAAGGCAAAAGACCCCAAATAGCCAACAAAATATTGAAGAGCAGAAGTCAGAGTAATGATTCTACCCAATTTTGGAGATTACTATAAAACTGCAGTGCTGGGCACGGTAGCGCACGCCTGTAATCCCAGTAGCTTGACAGGCTGATGGAGGAGGCTCATCAGTTCAAAGCCAGCCTCAGCAATTTAGCAAGGCCCTAAGCAACTCAGTGAGACCCTGTCTCTAAATAAAAAATAAAAAGGGCTGGGGATGTTGCTTAGTGATTAAGCTCCCCTCGGTTCAATCCCTGGTACCAAATAAATAAATAAAACTACAGTAATCGAGACAGTGGGACCCTGGTGAAAGAAATAAATAAATCAATAGAACAAACAAGGACCCACAGGTATGAACATACAGGGACCCACGCAGACATAGAAACTAGACACTGACAAAGGTGCAAAGGCAATTCAACTGCGAAAGGATGGTTTTTCAGCAAACAGATTTTTCAAACACATGCAAAACCAAAAAGAAAAGAACCTAGACATAGACCTTACATCTTCCACAAAAAGTAACTCTAAAGGAATTAAGACCTAAATATAAAATGCAGTACTCTAAAACTCCTAGAGGATGACACAGAAAAGACTCTGGATCACCTTGGGTTTGGCAAGGACTTCTTTGATACAACACTCAAAGTACAATCCATCAAAGAAAACACCAACGTGAACTGTATCAAGATCAACACTTCTGCTCCTTGAGAGGCAGGCAAGAAAAAGAGAAAGCAAACTATAGAGTGGGAGAAAGTACCAGCAGACACACATCTGATAACAGACTAGAATCTAAAATGTACAAAAAACTCCTACAATGTAATAATTGGGAACAAAACAAAAATCCTCATTATAAATGGCAAAAAAATCTAAACAGACACTTTACCAAAGAAGGTGTATGGATGATAAAGAAACAAATGAACAGGTGCTCAGCATTGCACACCATTGGGGGACCAGAAACTAAAGCCACCACGGGCTGCCACTGTACACTCCCCAGAATGGCCAAAAGCCAAAGCAAAGGCAGCACCTAGGAGTGGTGAGGAGCAGAGCAGCCAGGACAGCCCCACATTGGTTGCTAGTGGAAATGAAAAATGATGGGGCAGGCTTCAGACAGAGCTAAAGATAACACATCACATGATCCAGCACTCACGCCTTGGCATTGAGGTGGGCACGTGCGTGCTCGCGTGGACACACACACACACACACACACACCTGCACACAAATGTTGACAATAGCTTTATTCATGACTTTCCAAACTTCAAAAAAATTGAACATGGAATTACCACATGATCCAGCAACTCCACGCCTACACATATATCCAAAAGAATTGAAAGAACGGACCTGAAGAGAATTTTGCACAGAGCTATTGTGAATCACCAACAGGTGGAAGCAATACAAGTGTCCATCTATGAGTGAAAAGATAAATGGGTTGTGATAGGTTAATAGAAATATTATTCAGCCTTTAAAAAAAAAGGCAAGAATTCTGACACATACTACAATGTAGAGGTACCTTGAGGACATTGTGCTAAATGGGGAAGGCCAGATGTCAAATGGCAGCTAACCATATGATTCCACTTACACAAGGCACAGCTGCTCCTCGGTTTATGATGGGCCATGTCCCAATAAATCCACCATGACTTGAAACAGCCGAAACTGTCAATGCATTTACGACACCTACTCTACCAACTCTGCAGCTTAGCCCAACCTGCTCAAATGCTTCCAACAGCCTACAGATGGGCAAAATCAAGGACCATAACTCTATTTCGCAGCAAAGTGTTGGATAGCTCATCTAATTTATTGAATACCTTTCTCCCCCCAAAAGCACCAGCAACACAGCACACTGTGGAATACTGGTTGTCTCCCTTCATGCTCATGTGGCCGACCTGGAGCTATGGACCTCCGCCACCTGTGGCTCCAAGAGAAACTGCCCTGCAAATTCATGGTTTAGGAAAAGATCAACATTCAAAGTCCAAAGCACAGTTTCTACTGAATTCATGTGGCTTCCACACCACCATAAAGCTGAGAAAGAGTGACTCAGAACATTTTCAGCTATATCCAAATTCTCTTCCAGACTGGTTTATAACCAGGTGACAGAGTGTCCTCTTCTGAGGATGGAGAATGCAGGGCCCTGTGCATGCCAGGCAAATACGGCACGAAGGACAGACCTTTAATGGGGCTCTGCAAACCCTTCTGTGTTCTGCCTCTAAAATACAAACTGACTCAGTCACCTCCTGGTATTGACAGGACCTCGTTCTGCCGTTTCTAATGTGTTTGTACCCGGCACCAGTTTCCACCCAAACAGAGGGATAGCAGCTGGGGAGAGAGAGCAATCTGGCTCTAAGTCAGCAGCAAGTCAAGTCTCTTCCTGGGGGATCCATTTTCCCCATGGTCACTGCTGGATACTTTCACTCTGCCATCAGAGGGCGGCTCTGACCTGGTAAGCCAATGACAATCTGCAGGTGCTGCCCAGAGCCCTGTGCTGAAGAGGACCCTGAAGCCATGACCAGGCTCATCAGGAGGGAGTCCTCTGATTGCCTCACCAGTCCCAGCACTGCCTGCCTGGCCACTGCAGTCCATTGGCTCTGCAGGGTTGCTGGTTCCCTTGAACATACCCGGTCACATGGGGACTTCCTGGTCAGCAAGCTTTCTCCTTTCACCAACGCTGCATGGACTGAACATGCTATATTTGAAATCACCTATATTTATAGGCGCTGCAATTCTGCTTTGGATCTGCCCTTTGACTCAGCCACTCATTTATTTAAAACAATATTTTAACATTTTTCAAGAGGTTGAGCATCTTTCCTGCTTCTTCTAATTTTGTTGCATTGTCCCAGAAATATGCAGAAATTCTGTCCATTTACATTTGGTAACCTCATCTTTTGATTTTCAGAATGTGATCAAATATATTTATTTGCAAGGGTGTTGGCTTGGGATTTTTTAAAAAATGCTATTTTGCGAGGTATACACACAGACCTATTAGGTTCTCATTAAACCGGTTCTGGCTCTTCTTTCTTCAACTATTTCTCCCATGCCCTATGCTTTAGATTCTAGGATTTAATGTCTGATTGCTAGTTTAGATACCAGAAAAACCTACATACCAACAGACGAATGAATAAAGAAAATGTGGTATATATGCACAACAAAGTTTCACTCAGGCATAAAGAACAACAAATTTATGGCATTTGTTGGTGAATGGATAGAGTTGGAGAACATCACACTAAGTGAAATAAGCCAGACTCAGAAAGTCAAGGGTCAAATGTCTTCTTGCAGATGCAGCAGCCAGAGGAAAACAAAGGATGGGGGGAGGAAAAAGAAAAAAAATGTGTGAGAGGTATTCCATGAAAAGAGAAGGGAGATCAGTGGAGTAGAGAAGGGCATGGAGGAGGGGGTGGGAAAAGGGAGGAAGAGTGCAAAGAATCTGACCAAATTTTCCTATGTCCATATATGAATATACCATAGTGAATTCCACCTTTAGGTATCCATAAAGCATTTATTAAAAAAAGAAAAACTACAACAGAGAAAAGATCCATAGAGTAGAAAAAAGGGAATAGGAGGGGGAGGAGGAGAGGAAGAGGGAAAGTAACGGCAGAGTTCCTGGGCTCTGCCTGGAGTTCTGAGCTTTGACTCCACTGTGATGAGAAGCCAGTGGCAGGGTTTAAATGGGGTCGGAGGCGACGCTGCATGTTTTTCACGCTTGTTAAGGGATCCCTCGGGATGCTGAGCAGAGAGTGGGAAGCAGGAGGGCCAGACAAGAAGCAGGAGCAATGCAGACAGTGGGAACAGGCTGCCATCTGGGGGGTCACAGGTGGGGTCAGGAGCCCCCCAGGGATGAGGGCCCAGGCCTGGGGGGTTACAGCAGATAGATGGTCCCCAAGGCTGTGAGGCCACAAGGGGTTCACAGGAAAGAGAAGGGGGCTGAGGACCACTAGAGACCTGATAGAGGAGGAGCAGGAGGAGGACAGTGGAGAAAGCAGAGGGAGAGGTCTCAAAATCCAGAGGGACGTGTTGTGAGAAGGAGCTGGTCCTTGGTGGTCCTCCGTGCAGCTAAAGGATGCTGCTAAAGGATGCAGCTAAACGATGAGGTGAGAAAAGAACCTGAGCTTGAATTTAGCAAAACAGAAGCCATCAGTGACCTCCATAAAGGCCATTTCTGTGAAGCAGTGTGGAGGAAAGCGAGAGGGAGATGGGTTCAAGAATGCAACAGAGAAACAATGGTATGTGAAGAGGAATCTGGGGCCCAAGGAGGCCCCTTTGCTTAATGCACCGTCCTAAGGCTTATTTGTACATGGATATTGGTAAGGATCATTGCAGACACACAATCCTGAACCCTGGGGTCCTGGAAGGACTCCTCAGTCCCCAGTACACTTTAAATCAATCTTTAAAAATCTTTAAAAGGGATTTTGCCCTCTGTTTCATGATACAGTCATACTGCACAGAATAAAGCCCCAACAAATATTTTCCTGGAAGAACCCATGTTCACTGTGAATTCCCATACTGGCAAGCCCCTCTTTATCTCAACATATTTTCAATGGGAATTTGCATAGATTTTAAAATTGACATGGAGTCTTCAAAAACCACAACACTTTACAGGAATGGTATGTTGGCAAGGCTGCATGCTGCCTTCATGTACAGCTGGTCCAGCACCAGGATCATGAGAGCCAGCAAAGCTTTGGTGTGCCAGGAAAGGAATGCGCATGTGTGATTCTGCTGGCCCAGCTTACCGATGCTGCACAGGAAGCACAGGGGGTAGTTTGGGCCGCTCAGAGCAATGAATGGAGGGGTGGCAGGGAGGTGGCTTTGAAAGACAAGCACCAGGTGGCTTTGAAAGACAGCCATGTTAAAGGGAGCTGGCCAAGAAGCAGTGTTTGAAGTGTTTCCCATCCTAACATCACTTTTGTAACTTATATCTGGGTACCATATTGTGACTTAGAAAATTGGTAGGGTTATTGACTGACTTGCTATGCCTTGAAATTTTTTCCTAGTTAAAATAAGAGGTTCTTGGTGGGGACATGCTTCGATCCCAACTACTTGGGAGGCCAATGCAAGAGGATTTTAAGTTTGAGGTCAGCCTGGGCAATTCAGGGATACCTCTTGACTTGAAATTTTTTTAAAAAAGTGTATCTATCTATATAATATATATGACTAGGGGTGGTGGCCCACACCTGTGATCCCAGCAACTCAGGAGGCTGGGATTACAAGTTCAAAGGTAGCCTCAGCAACCTAGTGAGGCCCTAAGGAACTCCGCAAAACTCTGTCTTTAAATAAAGTACAAAAAGGGGTTGGAAATGTGGCTTGGTGGTTAAGTGCTCCTGGGTTCAATACCAGGAAAGGAAAGG